ATGTGGGCCTACAGGGTCTGGGTCCCGACCGAACGTCCCGACCTGTACCTGGACAGGGGAAACCTGCCTCCGGGCATACCTGGCCCAAGGGGCAGCCTTGGGAACTGCAGGTCCGAAACGAAGCCTGAAAAGACAAAAATAGGACAGCAAAGTTGAGCAAATAAATAAATAAATAAATAAATAAATGCTGCCTCGAATCGAATCCTGCGGCCTAAGGGCCAGCCGTGGGCCTCCAGGGCGCGCGTCCGAAGGGCGTGCGGCCTGGGGACCCCAGCAACCGTCGGGCCCCGAAAACGGGGCCCATGTGCAGGCTCAGCATGTAACGCACAGACATGCCTAAAATATATTAAAAGACATAGAATGAAAAAAATCAGAAAAAATATAAATTGAAAATTTTCAACAGAATCATAGCATGCACCAAACTCATGCACACGCAATTTACAAATTAAAATATACACAGCGAAAACGCCAAAAAGTGAAAAGATGTCATTTGTTTCAGCGTCCAAATCCCAGTCCTGATCCCAAAGTTTTAAAGTCCCGTGTTGTTACATGCTGAGCCTGCAACAGGCTGCACGGGCCATTTTCAGGCCCGTGTCGTTTTCAGCCCGAAAGCCTAAAACAAAGGCCTACAGGCCCTGCCTCGTTTCAGCCTGAAAGCGTGAAAACAAGGGCCTACAGGCCCTGTGTCGTTTCAGCCTAAAACAGGGCCTTTCCGGCCCTGAGTCTTTTCAGCCTGAAACGGAGGGCCATTTTCAGGCCCTCATGAGATCGACCTGCCCTGAAACTCAGGCACCAGACCAGGGTTTTAGCACAGGCCATTTTAGGACTGCTTTCAAGACAACCCTTGGTTGAGCTTCAACGCCAGGGTCTGGCACGTTTCGGCATTGGCAAGAGCACCCTCCTGAACGGGCCAGCACTATATAGAACTGGCCCGCCCTGCAGGCTGCAGGTAGTTCCTAGGTACTTCCCAGGCACTTCACGTGCAGTTCAGGAGGCAGGAGGTAGTCTTCAGGATTCGGCAGCAGCACTCTGGAGGAGCGCTGCAGGAGTAGTCGTAGCGCTAGCAGTAGCCTTCAGCGCTGGGCGGTAGTAGCGTTAGCAGTAGTCTTCAGCGCTGGGCGCTATTAGGAGCTAGAGTAGCACTAGAGAGAGAGAGATTGGGCGGAGGCCAGGGAGACTTACCTGCAGCGCCATAGCTCCAGCTTTGCCTTCGAGGTACCTGCAGCACAGCGCCATCTACACAGGTTAGTACCTGGCACATGAGAGAGAGAGAGAGTTCTTCTTCTTCCTCTTCTCAGTCCACCATCTCCCTCTCACCCTCTCGCTACCTGACTTCACTTCATCCGCAGACTACGAGAGAGCGGGCTTGGTGACATTTGAATCCAGACTCGACATTGGGCTCCGGACATTTTGACAAGGGATTATTTGGGACTTGTAACGAAGACTTGGTGTTGACGACATTCCCATCTCCCCCCTTCTTCTTCATCTGATTCCCTCCTCTTCGTATGTGCAAGATCTGGACCTGGCACATTCGTCCTGTGTGTAGCGCCAGGCCCCTTCACACCGTGTGATGAGGGTGATGTATGTTTGGTCTGCGTTGCGACATTGATTGGGCTAATCATTGGTATTCTAGCATTCTGCTGCGTTGACTTGCACTACGTGATAGAGGTCAGTCCCGGTCAGGTCAGGGCTTATATCTAAGTCTTCCGCTGCGCCACAAGGCGCCATTTTGTATGTATCAGGATGTACATTGTTTGTTGAGATTCCACAAGCACTGCATTGTCCATTCAGTCCTTTTTATCACATTGCGGATCCTTGGCTATTTACATACCTCGCCCAACTGGGCACGTAACAGCTGGTATCGGAACACCGCACGTGAATCAGAACAACCTGATCTGACACGTGTGCGGGGACTAAGTAGCTGATTAGTCTCGAGTGATTGATTAGATCACACTAGTTAGCCCCCAAAATCATGATTTTGACCTCACTGCCGAAAATCGATTTTTTTTTTCTTTTCTTGCATTTTGTTTTCCCGCTATTTCTGTTGTGGAAAATCCGCAATAGTGCAACACCTGAAATTTCCGTTTTCGTTTTTCCTCTGAAAATTCGAAATTTCATTGTTGGAAATCCGGAACATCTTTCTTTTCGAAAATTTCGATTTCCTTTTGCAATTTCCTGTTATTTGGAAATCCGGAATATTTTTTTCCGAAATTCGTTTTTTTTTTAACGGTACGGGAAATCCCTCTTGCAGTTACCATTTTCCAAACTGCGCGTACTCTCATCTGAGTAATTCCGAATATTTTTTGTATTTTATTTTCGGAATTCTTTTATCGGATAATCATCTGCAATCTGAAAGTTCGAAAAATTTCCTCATTTGTAATTTCGCACTTCAGGGGGAATTGGGAGGCCTACTGAACTTTGCAAGGAAGATGAGCATTAGCGAACTCCAGCAATCAAACAGCATCATACATATGTATCCAGATAGTCTTGACCTCGAACCAACAGCAGTCATG